TGGATGATGGATGGATGTTTAAATAACCAAGCAACGGATTACTCCACTCAGCCACTGGTCGAAGTAAAACTTGAACGCTTCTTATCCCCGGACAAGTCCCTTCAAACTCTACTCGCGCTCGGCTTCAAAATAGATGCGATCGCGAGCAAGTCCATTTCTCCCGAATCGTGTTCGACTTCTGTGTATGCATCTCTCAAACGGAAATTTAACCAAGCGAGAAATCTGACGGCAAAGCTGAGTCCATGTCAGCTGAAGCAAATTCACGCCGTAACACATTTCCTCTAGACAACCAAATCGATCACTGAGCCCGGAGAATCGGCAAGCGTCAGCGTAAGTTGATCTCGGCCGGAATGCTCTGCAAGCTATGCCCCTGCACAGGTTTTCTGCGACCTCCCGATGGTAGATTGTCTGCTCGAGCTCCCGATGGCAAGTTGTCTGCTCCACTATCATCCTGGATTTTTCGCGACTCTCTTCCTCCCAGTATTTAATTAATGAGCCTGCATGGCGCATACCGGGTTTTCAATAACCCCAGGCCACCAGGTCGACGTCATCTCCGTCCGGATCTTGTACCAAGAATGGGTTGATTAACATTGACTCTCTGGATATTTTTGGTACGCCGCTCCCACTCGGGCTCCCCCTTCGTCTCGTGACGGAAACGAGCGCTCTCGTACCAAAACTCGATGTCTCAGTCCTTAATTAATTTCTTTCGCTGCTACTCCTCCGCGGACCGTCCAGCACCTCCCTAATAATGCCGGTACGTCTAGTAATACTGGCGAGCTCGAGGCCTCCGTCCGCGCTCGTCGCTGCGCGGACATGCACGCCTGCACAGGTACATGCAAGGTTAATGTGCGGCCGAGGCTGTTCGAGAATCGCGCTGCCCCAGGTGCAATGGCCATGGCTAACCCCTGTGTCCTCCAGCTGCGAACAATCCAACCCGTGCAACACCACCCACAAAATTCTACGCTCTCATCTAGAACCGTTCAGTGCTGATCTCAACGCGCGCACCACCACCTCCTCGGCGAACACGCTCTGCCAGCCGAGCAACAGCTTGTACCTTGTAGGGCACTTCCCGTCCACGGACAAGGGGCAGACAGACAGCCTCCCGCTTCTAGAACCGCCTCCACGCTCGCCCTAGCGCCCAGAACCGCCAGCCGCCTATTCATTTGCACATCATCAAATTTGACTCCCGCGAAGGCTCTGCTCCTGTCCAGTCCAGTCCTGTCTGCGCTGCACGTTCCCTGGATCATGGCACGCGACGCGACTCGCCCGAGCGTCGCACCCCTGAGGATACGAGGGTGCATTCTAACGCGCATTTCCCCTTCATGAAACCGAAACCCCGCGTCTTCTACGCGTGAAGCTCATGCTCGCGCCTCGTCTCCGCACGCGCACCTTTCGTTTCCTGTCCGCCCCCGAAAACATGCGCGAAAATTCCTGCGGATGCGCGCGCCCGTCGCGCTTGCCGCAACGCGCGCAGTGCACCGCCGCGCACACGGCATCTCGTACATACATACGCCACCCACCCGCTGAATCACAGACGCCATCACATCAGCGCCACTGCTATTGCCACCTTCTCTTAACGTCACCCACGCGAGCAACCCTCTTCCCAGCCACATAATGATATTTCACTCGCGAATCGCACGACGTGCGGCGACGGCGCGCCTTCTCGCGGGGATGCGCAGCGGATATGCGTCCCGGCTTCTCGAACCCGCCCCCTCCTACTACTGAATCTCAACTGAATTATGAATGTGAATGAACGCACATGCCTCCGCCCCCCCCTTCAGTCACTTCACTTTGGGTTCCCCATACCACTGACACGCGCACTCGGCTCCGCCGCGGAACGCAACTGGGCTGATAGGACTCTGTCGTCTTCGCCTGCCACACCCGACGCGCGCAGGCACCCACTGCTCGGGACGGCTCGTGGCGCTGATGCGGCGCGCGTCGGACTTGTCACTTGCGCCTCCCCAGGCAAGCAGTCTATACGCCGGCAGATGAATTCATTTCGGGGATTTACACCGGCCATCGTGCCTGCCAACGCGGACTTCCTTCCTTCCTTCACCCTTCGCCCTTCTCCCTTCGCGCTACTTACTTCGCTTTAGTGTGTGCGTCCGCTCTGCCCGGGCGCTTCCCGTTAGCGCGCCGGCGATCGGGCGAGTTACTTTGCACCAATCGCACGCGCCTTCTCGCCCGTGGAAGTTCCGCACGGAAGCGCCCCAGAATGTATTATAGTTATGGGGGAAGGACCCGACGGCGTCGGCGGCCGCGTCCATTCTCGCGACGTCTATCACAGGCGGTAGCATACCGATGTGCTGGGGAAATGGGATGGGTCGCATACATAGGATTTTGGTGTCGCGCAAATGAAGGGACGGCGGAGTTGCGGGCACGATTAGCGAGTGTAGCTGCTGGCTGCGGGGACGATCATCGACTAGTGCGCTGGGTGGGCTCCGTGCGCGGCGTAGTGAATGAAGGTGACGTACGGCGCGTCAAAATATTCAGCAGGAAATATCTACGCGTTATTGAAGCGTTATTTCATCCAGGGAGATCGTTCAGTTCCTCATAAGGTTCCGCTAATTCGTGTGAGCAGTACAGAAAAAAGAGGCTGAGAATTATGGCTCAGGCTTGAACACAACCGAGCCGTTCCCAATCCAATTCAACTGTGGTATTTATGAGAGATTTGGTTTATCCTTCAAGTTGATGAGGATAAAAAGCACCATGCTCAACACAAAATGGCGCGGGCTCGATTCGAACGAGCGGATCCTCCTGATCAACTTCCCAACCACGTATGATGCAGCAGGCGTACCGAGCCGGTATCGGTGTAATTCACCTATGGGATCTTATGTGGGGGAATAAGAAAAAAACCTATATGGATGGCTCGGGCTCGAGTCGAACGAGCGAGTCTTGTTGAATCAAGAGAGAACTGGTTGGTTATTGAATGCAGGTATGGTCCGCACCACCGAACCGTTCTTGGTAGGATTTAGCTGTAGCATTTATGTGAGTTTGATGTGGGCGTTATTTCATGCAGGACGAAAAAAAGCTTATACCCATATGGCTCGGGCTCGAGTCGAATGAGTGTCTCCCGCTGAATCACGATGTTTTCCGGTTATCAAATGTAAATGTGGGTGTGGTCCGCACCACCGAACCGGCATCGGTGTAATTCAGCTATAGAATCTACGTGAGCTTTATTTCACATCGGATGAAGAGGGAAAAAAACACGAAAGCCCAGAAAGGCCCGGGCTCGAGTCGAACGAGCGGGTTCTGCTGAACGCTTCCAAACATATATTGAATGCAGGCGTGGACCGTCCACGACCGAGCCGTTCTTGGATTCAGCTGTAGGATTTATGTGAGCATTTTTTAAAATATTTCAAGGAAAAAGTTGAATGCTGCACACCATAATATAGCTCGGGCTCAAGTCGAACGAGCAATTCCCGCTGAAAGACTGCCTTCGAAGTGTTTCATTGAATGCAGGCGTGGACCGTCCACCCGTATTGGTATAATTCAGCTGTGGAATTAAGTGAGAGTTATTTTATGTTCGTCCCAATATCAGCTCGGTAGTGGACAGTCCACGCCTGAAACACCTCGAAGGCAGTATTTCAACGGGATTCGCTCGTTCGACTCGAGCCCGAGCCATGGCATCAAAAGATTGATGGTATGCTCTTTGTCTGTTGAGGACAAAATAGGATTCCCATAAATCCTACAGCTGAATTGTACCAAGAACGGCTCGGTGGTGGATGGTTCCCGCCCGCATTTGATTATTTGGAATCATGATATTTCAGCGAGACGCGCTCGTTCGACTCGAGTCCGAGCCATCACGACTTGTCATGTTCCTTTTTTTCTTCCAGCAGAACGTAACTTTTACCCAAATCCCACAGCTGAATTCTGCCAAGAACGACTCGGCGGTGATCCAAGTGACGGTGATCCAAGTGAGAGTCATTTTACGTTCGAAAGAAAAGGGGGTTGGAGTTAACAATGGTTCGGGCTCGAATCGAACGAGCGAGTCCTGCTGAAAGGTTGATAGCTCAGACCAACTATTGAATGCAGGCGTGGTCGGCACCATCGAGCCGTTCTTGGTACATTTCAGTTATGGGATTTGTGTGAGTGTTATTTACATTCGAAAGAAAACGGCGGCGGAGCGAGAAAATGGCTCGGACTCGAGTCGAACGAGCGCGTCCTGCTGAGCACATTCGGACTCAGAAAGAAGTACTGGATGGAGGTGTGGACCGTCCACCACCGAGCCGGTATTGGTACATTTCAGCTGTGGGATTTATGTGAGTGCTATTTCATGCAGGACGAAAAAAGCTTACACGCGCATGGCCCGCGCTCGAGTCGAACGAGCAAGTCCCGCTGAAATGCTGCCTTTGAAGCTTAAATATTTCGGTGAATGCAGGCGTGGACCATCCACCACTGTAACCGAGCCGTTCTTGGTATAATTCAACTGTAGAATTTATGTGGGAGTTATTTCATACTAGAGAAAAAGGTCGAAATGCTCACACACAACGGGCTCGGGTCGAACGAGCATTCTATTCGAAGCCCAAATGTCGTTGAATCATGATCCAGGAGCCATGCATCAAATGTGGGTGTGGACCATCCACCACCGAGCCGTTCGTGGTACAATTCAGGTGTGGAATTTATGTGAGGTTTTTTTGATCCTGAACAAAAAAAACAGCATTGAACTTGAGCAATGGCCCGGGCTCGAGTCGAACGACTGATCAACTATACAACCACATACTGGATTGAGGTGTGGTCCGCACCACAGAGCCGGTATTGGTAGAATTCAGCTATAGGACTTGTTTGAGCATTTTTTCCATGTATCAAGGAAAAAGAATATCAATAACATTACATGGCTCGGGCTCGAGTCGAACGAGCGGATCCTGCTGAGTACATCTGAAAACAAATACTGGATGAAGATGTGGACCGTCCACCACCGGGCCGTTCTTGGTACAATCGAGGTATAGGATTTATTTCCATGCAGAACGAAAAAGCTTGACACCTTGAGCACGCATGCAGGGCCCGGGCTCGAGTCGAACGAGCGCATTCCGCTGAATCATGATTTCCAATCAAATGCGGGCGTGGACCATCCACCACCGAGCCGTTCTTAGTAGGATTCAGCTGTAGGATTTATGTGAGCTTTATTTCACATTGGATGAAGAAAAAAAAAACGCGAAGGCAGGATGGACCGGGCTCGAGTCGAACGAGCGAGTACTGCTGAAACGCTGTGCATATCCCGAGAATTGCATGCAGGTGTGGTCCGCACCACCGAGCCGGTATCGGTGTAATTCAGCTGTAGGATTTGTGTCAGACTTATTTGATGCTCAAAGAAAAAAAAAGTTATCAGCCTCCATTGGAATGGCTGGGGCTCGAGTCGAACGAGGGGGTCCTGCTGAACACTTCCAAGAGCATTTTGAATGGGATGCAGTCGTGGACCGTCCACGACCGAGCCATTCTTGGTATAATTCAGCTGTAGGCTTTATGTGAGCATTTTTCTGTATTCAAAGAAAAAGACTTGGCGATGAACGAATGGCTCGGCTCGAGTCGAACGAGCGTGTCCGGCTGAACTCCTTCACATTTTTCCATTGAATGCAGGAGTGGTCCGCACCACCAAGCCGTTTTTGGTATAATTCAGCTGTAGGCTTTGCGTGGGTGTTGTTTCGCGTCGGATGGGGGGGAAAAAACGCGAAGGCAGAATGGCCCGGGCTCGAGTCGAGCAAGTCCTGCCGTATTCATGTACACTCAACACTGCAATATTGAATGCAGGTGTGGACCGTCCACCACCGAGCCGGTATTAGTATGATTCAACTGTAGGATTTAAGTGAGATTTTGCTACTGGAAGAAGAAAAACCTAGAGGAGCAATGGCTCGGGCTCGAGTCGAACGAGCATCGTCTGCCGCATATTGCCGTAACCATCAAACACTGGATGCAGGCATGGTCAACACCACCGAGCCGCATTCAACTGTAGGATTCAAGTGAGATTTTGCTACTGGAAGAGAAAAAAACCATACAAAGTATTATAGAAGAATAATGGCTCGGGCTCGAGTCGAACGAGCGCGTCCCGCCGAATCATAATCCAGGAGCTTGTCCAAAGCTTGTCCAGGAGTATCAAATGTGGGTGCACCGGTGTGGGCCATCCACCACCGAGCCGTTCGTGGTACAATCCAGCTGTAGGCTTTATGTGAGCATTTTTCTGTATTTTAAAGAAAAAGACTTGGCGATGGACGAATGGCTCGGGCTCGTGTCGAACGAGCGCATCCTGCTGAGCAATTGTACAGCCACATACTGGATGCAGGCGTGGTCCGTACCACCGAGCCGGTCCTGGTACAATTTATCTGTAGGCTTTATGTGAGCATTTTTCTGTAATTCAAAGAAAAAGACTTGGCGATGGACGAATGGCTCGGGCTCGAGTCGAACGAGCGAGTCCTGCTGAAACGCTATGTATATTCCGAGAATTGTATACAGGTGTGGTCCGTACCACCGACTCGGTATCGGTGTAATTCAGCTGTAGGATTTATGTGATAATTATTTCACATCCAAAGAAAAAGGCGGTGGAAAGGAAATGGCCCGGGCTCGAGTCGAACTGCTGAACGCTTCCAAAAGCACATTGAATGGGATGCAGGTGTGGACCATCCACGACCGAGCCGTTCTTGGTAGGATTTAGCGGTAGGCTTCATGTGATGGTTATTTTATGTTTGAAAGAAAAAGGCGTCGGAGCAAGGTTGAACATGGCTCGGGCTCAAGTCGAACAAGCGCGTCCCACTGAATCATGATCTCCAAGAATCAAATGCGGGCGTGGACCGTCCACTACCGAGCCGTTCTTGATATAATTCAGCTGTAGGCTTCATGTGAATATTTTTCTGTATTTTAAAGAAAAAAACTTGGTGATGGACCATCCACCACCGAGCTGTTCTTGATACAATTCGACTCTGCGATTCATGTGAGAGTTATTTTATCCTTGAAAAAAAAACTGGAAAGGCTGGAATGGCTGGGGCTCGAGTCGAACGAGCACGTGCCGCTGAATTGATCTAGAAGGTTTCCCAGGCATCAAATGCGGGTGTGGACCATCCACCACCGAGCCGGTATTGGCATGATTCAGCTGTAGGCTTTATGTGAGTATTTTCCTGTATTTCAAAGAAAAAAACTTGGCAACCGAGGAATGGCTCGGGCTCGAGTCAAACGTGCGAGTCCTGCGGAAACGCTGGGGACATTTTGAGAATTGTAAGCAGGAGTGGTCCGCACCAACGAGCCGTTCTTGGTATAATTCAGCTGTAGGATACATGTCAGACTTATTTGATGCCCAAAGAAGAAAAAAAGTTAGCAGCCTCCATTCGAATGGCTCGGGCTCGAGTCGAACGAGCGAGTCCTGCTGAATCCAGACGGAAATTGCTATTGAATGCAAGGACCATCCACTACCGAACCAGTATTGGTACAAAGCAGCTGTAGCATTCATGTGAGACTCATTTGATGCTCAAATGATAAAAAAACTGACCATTTTAAAGCGACATGGCTCGGGCTCGAGTCGAAAGAGCGAGTCCCGCGAAGGAAGTATAATGTCGCCATGTCCGAATTGAGTGCAGGCGTGGTGAGCCGGCATTCAACTGTAGGATTCAAGTGAGATTTTGCTACTGGAAGAAGAAAAAAATCTGTATCTCTCTCTTTATAAAATTGCGTGTCCGAAGCCTTTTAAGTTCCGACTCTCCGCTTCGGAGTTTTCCAGTTGGACGTGGAGAGACGTGGTGCCATGACAGCCTCCGAGGCGAAGTGCCGGGGGCGCTCTTGTACAGAGGAATAATGGCTCGGGCTCGAGTCGAACGAGCGAGTCTTGCTGAATCAAGAGAGAACTGGTTGGTTACAGGTGTGATCCGCACCACCGAACCGTTCTTGGTAGGATTTAGCTGTAGGATTTATGTGGGTTTGATGTGAGTGTTATTTCATACAGGACAAAAAAAGGCGTGCACGCACATGGCTTGGGCTCGAGTTGAACAAGCAAGTTCTGCTGGAATAGTGCCTTCGAAGCATTCCATTGAAATGCAGGAGTGGTCCACACCACTGAACCACCATTCGTGGTACAATTCAGTTATAGGATTTATGTGAGCTTTATTTCACATCGGATGAAGAAGAAAAAAATGCGAAGGCAGAATGGCCCGGGCTCGAGTTGAACGAGCGAGTTCTGCTGAAACACTGGGGGTACATTTCGAGAATTATAGATGATACTAAGTAGTAGTGGCGTTCCAGTTACGTTAGATGGCTCGGGCTTGAGTCCGAACAGTGTGAAAATTGCTATTGGTTGCAGGCATGGCCACTAAGCCGTTATCAATACTGTTTCCGCGTTGAGTTTTTGCAATCGCACGCGTGTGAGTGGTCTAGCCAAAGATGGGCGAGGATTCCGCGAGGATTAGTAGCCGAGGGCACGCATAGGGAACCCTAACCCTACATTTGCCTCGTGTTTCCCTACTCTCCCGAAATCTCTTTGACGCCATGGAGGCGACGCACGCACTGTCGCTGCAGGTGCATCCGGGGTGTGGACTGCACAATGGTATTTCGTACTGACCCTCTGTCCCAGGAAGCGACGCGCAACTCGACGTCGGAGTGGCAGCGGGACTTGGCTGCACTGTTCCAGCATGCAAAAGAGCGCTTCCCGGACGTCGTATGGGAGCTGAGCTCGGAGGGGGCAGGGACGGAGGAGGTCTGGGGGCACAAGGGTCAGTGGTGCAGCGAGCGGTCCAAGCGAGAAATCTGACGCCACTTTACTTGCAGCAATTGTGTATGCACGGGCGCCACCATCGTTCCAATCGCGCTACTTTTCGTTTCGCCCGCAAGCGCGCGGCAGCTCGCCGCTGGCGGCGTCGGCCATGTCGCTCGATATCCCGCGTGGCAGTCGCTCGCCGTCGCCCTCGCCGTTCCGCAGCGCCTCGCCCGCCCCATCCACCACCGTCGGCGGCCTCACCCGCCTCACCACCAGCATCAACCCTGCCCTTTTTTCGAACGAGCTCGAGTACCTCTACACCGGCCAGGGCTTCGGCGAGGCATTCGAGTTTCTCTTTGACGAGCAGGCCGGCGAGGACAGTGCAGCGGGCGACGACGCGGAGGAGCTGCGCATCGACAAGCTACGCAAGGACCTCGTCTTCATGTGGCGCTCAAGGCTCTACTCGGACGTCCGCATCGCCCTCACCAGCAGCGGCCCGCCCGCCCCGAACGACGACGACGACGCACACGACCGCCAGATGCCCGTCTTTTCTTCCCACCGCTTCATTCTTGCGTCTCGCAGCCCTTACTTTCATACTGCACTTATCTCCTGGCCCTCACCTGCAAAACCGCTCGCCTCATCTCTCGAACCGCTGACCCTAACTTTACCTTCGCCCCCCTTCACCCCCGCCTCCCTACATTTCACTCTCGGATTTCTCTACACGGGCACACTCGTCTTCTCACACCGCACTTACGATCTTTCCACAGCCCTCGCCCTCCTCCTCTCCGCAAACTACCTCTCCCTCCCCGCCCTCCACGCCGAAGTCCAAGCCCGCGTCGTCACCGAAATGGCGCACGGCCTCTTCCACGCCGCCCTCCCCTTCGCCGCCTACGAAGCCCTCACCCACGGCGCCTGGCGCGCCGGCGGCTGCACCTGCCGCAAATGCGCCGCCCGCGTCCCCCGCATCCTCGAATTCGCGCTGCGCCCCGACGTGCTGGACCCCGTCCTCGAGCGCGGCGCGCGGCGCGCCCTCGTCGGCCTCTTCGGCACGGGCTGGTGCACGCCCGAGTTCGCGGCGCTCCCGCCCAAGCTGCACGCCGCGGCGCTCAAGGGCCTCGCGAAGCGCACCACGCCCGCGAACGCGCTCGCGATCCTGTGGGCCGCCGAGGCCGCGCGCGCGCGCCTCGCGCCGCTCGTCGATGCATGGGCGGACACCGTGCGCCCGCTGATCGATACGGGCCGCGCGCAGGTCGACGCGGTGCTCGGCGCGCAGACGGCCGCGGTCCTCGGGGAGGCCGACTGGGTCGAGATCATGCGCGCGGACGGCGTGAGGTTCGAGGACGGCGAGCGCGTGGAGTGGGTCATGCGTGCGGTCGTGCGCGGGGCGGCCGAGGCGAATGCGGGGAAAGTGTATCAGGCCCTTGTTAACGTGCTCCTCCTCCCGCACCCGGATCCCGTCGAGGAGGGCACCTTCCCCGCGCAGCCGCTGCTCTCGCAGACGAGCCACGTCCGTGTCCAGGTCGAGCAGGCCAGGTGCGTTCTCTCCTCCCTTACCCTGGCATCCCGCTAACTGAGTTTGACGCGCAGGATGGACGTGCTGCAGTGGCTCAAGCGCGGCGGTCGCGGGCGCGCAGACCGCGTTGCGCGCGAAGGCGGGCTGGACGGCGTGGAAGGTTGGGCTGTGCGGGAGATTGGGGATTGTGAGTGTTTGCGTTTCTGTTCACGTTTTTCCTCCGACTGCGACAACCGTCCGTCTGCGTTCTTGAATCGCTATTCCCTCTTCCTTCTCGCCCTCCCTCCTTCCGCACCCCCCACTAACCACCACCCCCTCACAGTCCTCGAAATACCCGTCGACGACCTCCTCTCCGCAATACCCCCAGCATCAGGCCAACACGCGCGCCAACCAACATCAGCAACGCGCAAATCCACCGCGCTCCTCAACCCCAACGGGCGCGACGCAGACGCGCACAGTCTGAGCATTCACACACAGCAGAGCTCGATGCGCGTGAGCGTGCTCAGCCGCAGCATTCCCACGCCACGCGCCGCGCGCAGCGTGCGCAATGCAAATAATACGCCCGAGGTCACGGAGGAGGGCACGGAGGCGGAACACGACGCAGAGAGCCCCGCGGGCGAAGAGGAGGAAGAAAAAGACGACGCCGAGCAGAGCGGCGAGCGCCCCGACTCGAAGCTCACGCCCGAGCCCAGCGCGCGCCTCTACCTCTCCGACCCCGCCACTCGCCGAAACACGGGCAACCTGAACAACAGCGCGCCGCCCTCGCCCACCGCGAAGAAGCCGCCCGTCCCCACGCGCCCGCTGCCCGGCTCGCCCTCCGCGTCGACGTCGTCGCTCAGCACCTCGACGACGACGACGACGCCGCCGAAGTACGCTAGGTCGACGGTGAGCGTGAGCGTGTCGCCTGCGCCGCGCCCGCGCTCGGCCGCCAGCACCGGCACCACCGGCACCACGAGCACCACGCGTGCGCACGGGGCGCACGCCCCGCGCCCGGGCTCGGCTGCGTCGACGTCGACCGTGCGCACCACGCGCGGAAGCGCGACCGGGACGGGGACGGGCCTGCGCCCGCCGCCCGCTGGGGGCGCGACTGCGCGGCGCGCGTCGGGGGCGACGAGCACGAGCGCGAGTGTGTCCGAGTTCCGCACGGCGCTGGGCTCGAGCGCGCGCTCGAGCACGGCGCTGAGCACGCGGTCGAGGCAGAGCTCGGTGTCGAGCGTTGCGAGCCGCGGTCCGGGGGCGAGGACGCGCACGACGAGCGGGGCGTCGGACGTTTCGGTGCGCACGACGGGGGCGAATGGGAGTGGGAGTGGAAGTGGGGCACGGCCGCCGGTGCCGGCGCTGGATCCCGCAGCAAAGAGGCGGGGGACGGGGACGCCGAGTATACGGAGTGTGCGGAGCGTGGCGAGTACGACGAGTACGATGGATACGGCGGCGAGCGCAGCGAGGAAGGTGGCGGCAAGGGAGAAGAGGCCGGAGGTGAAGGTGATTACGCTGAAGCAGCGCGGGCGGGGCCTAGGCGCGAAGGAGAAAGACAAGGAGGGGGAGAAGACGAAGTCGGTCGTGGAGAAGGACAAGGGGAAGGAGAAGGAAAAGGAGGGAGAGAAGGAGAAAGACA